TTTGCTCTTGATACCTGTAGAAAGTGCGATGTTAGTTGAAGAAGCTCATATTTGCTGTCTGCTGGTTTGTTGTGCTGTATTTTTTTATTTAAAAACGTTCTTCCAATTTCAGGGAGTTTGCTTTAAATGGTCACGTATGTAGCCGACATAGGGAGAGACCTTTTGGTCCCTCTCATGCAGTGTCCACACATACATCGCTTGTTTGTGGTTGTGCGCAAACCTTTGGCCTAGGTAATGGAAGAGGTTGTTATCGTATTCATTCATTGCACTGTCAACAAATTCATAGTTGTGCAATATAGCGCTAACAACCCTCAAAGTGAGCATTCGTTCTTTTATTCACCTAGCACAAGATCGCAATGGTTAGGATAGGTCTGCATGATTATGGGAAAAATAATCATCACAATTATTTAATCAATATTGAGATCACGATTATTTATCACAACAATTTTACATTAATTTTAGGGACAATCTTTGTATTGCAATTTTCCAATTAAATGAACAAGAACACAGCTTCCACTTCCATTGTTGTGCTACATTCTGGCTAGAGTACATATGTTTGCACCAAACATGTCCTGATCATAGTGCATCTCGTAAAAGGGAAATAAAACCAAATGGTATCAACAGTCCTTTACCCAAAACTAAATTGCGGGACGCTGCTTTCACTTCCATGTATTGGGGTTATCTCGGGTCGTCGTGGCGCAGGGGTTATAGAAGGTGTGCTGGGAAGCGCAAGGTTGTTGGTTCGATTCCAGGCTGCCCCATGTTCCATGTCGAAGTGTCCCTGAGCAAGACACCCTGTGAAAAAGCCATGGGTTTAAAGTGTAAAGTAAGTCGCTTTGGATAAAAGCGTCTGCTAAATGACATGTAATGTAATGTAATGTAATGTTGTGCTACATTCCAGTCAATGTACACGTCTTTTCATCACAATAGATGGTCCTTATTACCTCAAGTAAAATATAAATAGTTTTTATTCAAACTAAAAATATTATTTATTTATATAGTATTTGTTGGACACATGTCTTTGGCCAAATGAAAAGCGATTGCCGTTATTTCAGTGTCTTGGAGGTGAATGGATACGATTTCACGCTATCACTGTTGTGGTTTTCTGGGTTGACGTCATTGGACATTGACGGAGATTTAGTGAAGAAACGTTAGCTTTGCCCCTTATGCATTTGTTGTACTGTGGTTTGTGGTGATTCTTCAGGTGGTTGCGGCGCAGACACAACTCTAACGCACTCTCAGCATATGATTTTGTTCTTGGTTAACATCAGCTACCATAAGTCAAAAAAACTTCAGACATCTAATGACGACCCTTTTCGAGGGACAAGCTCCTCTGCTTCAGCTCCTGACATTTGATTTATCTTTCATACCCGTGTAGTCTGTTGTCTGTCTCTGCTCTTGTACGAATACTGGAGTCCACTGCTGACAGAACTTTCTTTGACACCTCGTTCTCCCCGGTGGTTGGCTGACTGTTATTTGAGGAAGTGCTAATTTGATATGCAGCAGAGCAGGCATATCTCTGACGATCATGCTCATTTAATCGTGGCAGCCAATTGTGATTGCGATTAAACTTTAATTAAAATTTGATTAGTTGTGCAGCCCTTGGTTTGGATAGAAGTGTATATTTTTTAATACAGTCCCGTGGTGGGTTATGTGGTGTTCTTAGTGTGCTATCGGCGTTAGGATTTGAACATCATTTTATTGCTTCCACTACATAATTTGAGAAGTGTTTGTGTATTGCATCTGTGTGGTGCTTGAATCAGTCTTTCTTTTTGTCTTAAGTGGCCCAACTCCGTTTGCTGACTTTAGCGTGGTTAACTGATGCAGTTATGTGTGTTGAGGAATAGGTTCCAGTGTTTTTTTGGGTGGAGGTAATGCGTTTTTGAAAACTGGAGTAGCCCGAGCTCAGCTGGATACGATAAACACAGGTTTGAAAATGGATTGGTAACTGGACATGAGCAAATCCGTTTAATTTGTAACAGTCAAGTTTGTCAACCAGGGCAATAATTGTTTCCGTCGAGTCCAACATGTGTTTGCACGGACCACATGTATGTTCAAGTACAGTATCTCGGACCAAAAATACTTTTTCAAGTTTCACATTGTCTTTTTAAACTGCCTTGAATTGGCATTTTGTTGAAATATGGTAGCATCTTCCCAATTTCAACAAATAATGGGATTTTAAATTTTGTTGCTTGGCATGACCAAGGCATATGCTTTGAGCAGTGCTTTTTGGAGTTAGAGGGACTAGTATCACCTGACTGGTTGCCTGGTGTTGAAACAGTGAAGCGGTAAAGTTCTTTCTAAAAAAGAAAAGGCCCAAGTTTGGAGGAAAGCACTCGTCAAAACCCAGCGAGAGACCGTGGACATCTGTCCTCTTATGCTATTGGAGGCATTTGTGAAAAATCCCTTCCTATGTTGGATTAGCCTAGTTATCAAAGATAGAGCAAACAACTCAATATAATCTCATAATAACATAAAGGTTCTAAAATGAATGATCAAAAGAGTTTGTGGAAGCGCTCTTTGGTGTTTTGAAACTGAAACACGTTAAACTGTTGTCTTCGGTTCATTGCAGTGCTGCTTGTGAGAAAAAAACGATTCCCATAGAGTTTATTTGATGTTTCAATGTATCAGCCAATGGTGTCATAGGAAACGTGAGTGACTTGCCTGAAACGGCGCCATGTAGCATAAATTCAGACCTGTGCAGAGACATTGCTTTGTTCTGCCCAGGAATACAACTCCATGTAAGTTTAAGAGGCCTTTCCGAGACGCTGAGCGCAAGTCTATATCTACTGACTGTCTACGCCGTTTAGCTGAACAAAATCGTTTTTTTCTAGAACACGTAGCCTTTGATGCCCTTACTGGGCAGCATTACCGGACCCGGCATGTGAACACTCGTGGCACCAGTGCAATAGTGGTTTCTGCATTTCTCCCAGTCAGGTTGAGCAGTGCACTCACTAATAGAGAAGCCCTTATTCTAAATATCATGCAAAGCGATTAAAATGATCTGAGGATTAGCTATAGCATGTTCTCTATTTGACATTTCTTCATCTTTAGCTGGGCGGTGGTGCTGCAACCTAATACCTCTGATCCAGAATCCAGTTCAGCTAGCTACCGAGAGCTCAGCCTGGCAGCAAAGAGCAGAGCTGTCGGCCATTTTGAGCTTCTCCATTGGATCCAGGCGCAGTAAACGAGGCTGTGGGGGGGGGGGGTGGTCCGGAGCCCCGTGCACTTTTGCAAGAGCATTTGAATGTGATGTAGCAGTGACTTCCACGCCCCTTATCTTTTTACATTCATTATTATTTATTGACTTCCAATGCTGCTTTCCTTTTTTTTCTTTCTTTTTACTTCAGGAGTTTGTTGTCACTGCAGGCAGCGTGATTGCTCATATGGAAGTGGAGTAGGAGTTGAGCGTGTGTGTCGGCTTTACAGTTGACGGTACAGGGCCCACACTAAGTCGGGTTCTGTACACACATTGAGGTTTCCCGCCGCACATACAGCAACCTGCCAGGGTGCATAAGGCACATGGCTAGCTTTAAAAAATGACCCGTTCAAGCAGCTTTGTCAGCTGCAGCCTCAGAATGCAGCGTGGTAACATGGTAAAGCTAACCAGCACCACAGTGGAGAACAGAAGCAACTTATTGCTCCCAGCACATCACATTTTAAAGGGTACTCAAATGATAGCTGGCTCGTGGTCCTGCGCTGAAACTGACAGACGGATTTGACTACATACGTTATCCACCCTTTCATCGCGTCTGCTTTTTGTTTCGACCGGAGGTGTGTCGACTCGTTGATTGATCTCGGGGATTAATGAATCCTTTGGTGGTCGCGCATTCTCAAGCTCATCCTTACCAAAACACGGGTTGGAAAGCAGTTCCTCTCTCTGTTCGTTGTATTGGCCAAAACCTCTATTTCCTATTTTGAATTTTTTTCCCTGTGATTGGTTAGACTGTCATGTCTCTAATTGTGTTCTCTTAGCCTGCAAATAATGTACCGGTCAGCTTTTGTGCATCAACTTTAGTTTTAGAAACAAATGTGGATAAACTTAATTGTCATCAACATAATTGTAACTCCAGTTGGAGGAAATCCGTTGCAACCCCACAAATATCTCCCTTTGGTGCCATGGGCTTAGATTCAGCATTCTATTGTTTAATACTGAATGTAGAATGATAATTTTACTGCAGCTCAGCACAAGTCTCCTGCAGCTCACAGCTTTAATGGAATTCAAATTCTTGACTCTCTTCAAAAGGAGTTTCAATTATCACACGTAAAAATGAATACACATGAAGTCACTGCATATGGAATTGAACAACTAGCTTGAACAGTAAAATGTGTGCTAAAAACAAAGCTAAGTACTAGGAAAATCCTCCAGGGTTTTGCATAACCTCTTTAATGCTGCCAACAGCCTTTACTCACCCTGTTCTGATTCGCTGAGGCCGGAGCCAATAGGATTGCTGGGGGATGGGAGGAAGGTTTGGTTGCTGCTGTTAACTTCAATGTCCTTTCTGTTTTCTGGGATCGGGGCTTTGGTTCACATGAAGTCCGATTGATCAGGGAATTAAGGAAGGGGAGTTTGTCAGAGCAGTTCAAGTGCCATGAAAAAAAAGTCTGGCTTACTGAGCTGCAGCTTGACTGCTGTAACTGTTGGACAGATACGTTGATGTGCAATCAAGGCAGTAAAGATCTGTTTGATTTTAGCTTTTCAAATTTGAGTAAAGAATCCGGCATTTTGGAGAACCGACCAGTTTGGTTTGCAGATCTCTGGGCGTGAAGAACCCTCTAGAAGATAACCAACAGGGACGGGCATGGTGCTCCACATTGACCTCTAGTGTTTGATCTGACATCCTGCAGCCATTTCTGTGCCTTGCTGGGCGTAAAGTCCAGGGCAGGTTCTTTAGCGGGAGGCACTGTACGTTTGCAGCTAGCGCTAAAGGTCCTTTCTAGATTTCCCATCAGATTCATCATGCCCTCTGACAGCATCTGCTCTCTCTTTGTCCCTGCAGGCGCAGCAATGGAAGTTGTCATGAGCGAGGAGAAGAAGAAGATTTTTCGTGCCAGGAAAACCATGAAGATCAGCGACCGGCAGCAGCTGGAGACTCTTCACGGCGCTTTGTTGACAGCCGGTCCAGGTATGTCGGACGCATCGGCGACACCGCCTCTGTTAAACGGCACGCACAAAGAGGACGAGCTTAGAGCGGGGGACAAAGAGCAAAACAGTGCCTCGGACTCTAACTCCGGGGTGGCTTCCCCCTCCTCGCCAGCCCCTTTCCTGTCCCTCAATCTGTCCCCGTCCCCGCCCTCTTCGCATAGTCCTCTGGCTAAGGACGAAATTCCGACTTCTCCCACGTCACCACTCCACTCGCCGAACTTTGAAATGAAAAAGATGGGCGATGAGGAGGAAATTGAGTTGAAAGAGAAGGGGAAGGAGAGGAAAGGCTCGCCAGTGTCTTCATCAAAGGACTCAGTTACGCCAGCATCAACAGACTTCAAGGAAAACCAGGAAAAAGATTCTGAGGTGACCCCAAAGATGGAAAAGAAAAAGGTGAATGCCCAGAATTTCACAGGAAGTGGTTTTTCACACACAACTTTATACCGAGTTAATGTTGTTAAGTGTGGATTTGGATTGACAGTCAAAAAACACTTTTGATTAATCAATGGTTAATTATGTTCTTCTCCAGGAGGACCAGAAGGCAAAGGAGGACGCAGGTGTAGAACTGTCAAAGAATTCTGTCAAAGGTTCAACTCCATGTTTGTCCGTAGCCGCTCCAGCGTCCGGCTGCACAGAACCAATGGATACCGATAGTGACACTAAAAAGACCAAGAACCCTGCAGCCTCCTCAGCCAAAATAAAAGAGGAAAAGCCTTTTTGCCCCAAATCTACTACTGCAGATGCCTCTCGCCCGGCGGCGTCTTCTAAGGATATAAAACAACAAAAGGAAACCGGAGAGGTCAAAAAGGAAGAGGAGGGGGAAAAGAAAGGATCGACCCGTGAGGAAAAGATGGAGCTGGACTCGACCAAAAAGGAAAAGACTGAAGTTCGACAAACAAAAAAGCCCTCTCGGCCATCTTCTACTCCACCAGCTAATACAGGTAGGACAGAAGGAAATGAAGCAAAAGCAGTAATAGTTGGTGTGTCATTTATGTTGTACGAAAGCACACCTGTAAGTTGAACCAACGTAAATCCGAAATGAGAAGTTATTACAGCCCGTGCTTGCAATTATGGGACACAAAATGTCCTTTAAGGCAGTAATGAAACATCTATTTGTTTGGACCTTCCTACCTCGTTCAAGGTTTTGTAGATTTGTAGTCTGGAGATGCTCGAGTGATGTCACACAGACGTGTGGCTTCCTTTGACTAAAATCAAGCCTCACTTTAAGATTTGACTGCGGAATCTTTTTCCAGCCTCCAAGTTTAATCACTAAAATGGTCGGAGTATTCTAAACACTTTACTGTAAAATTGATGACGTATTCCGCCGTGCTGGCTAGCTCTCTATGACAATGGAAAATGGCCTAGTATATAGTGAGACCTGCATACGTGAGTATGTAGCTAAATACAAGGAATCATTCACATCCAGCTGTGTGGTTTATGAAATCTGTTTGGCACGTTCTTATGCTGCCGCAGCAGAGGCTGAGGGAGAGAATTCAGCAGTGGCAGCAATTGTTTTCTTGCAAACAAGGTACTAGTCTGCGCCTGTGCTTTGTCTCCTGAGCAGCACAGGAGGAGAAGGGCTCCACATCGGGACTGAAGCGCACGTTATCGGAGGGTTTTGAAAAAGACGGACAAACGGTGAAACGAGAGGGGAAAAGGCCCAAGGTGGATTGCCAGGAGCTGGAGGCCCAGCTGGAGTTTAAATTTACCGCCAAAGCCGGCAGTCACAACAAGCTTGAAAAGGTTTGTGCGCCTAAAGCCTGAGCTAACAGACGTCTGCTTGGAGGCCAGTGGATGTGTCATTACTTAACCACACACGCTCCTTCTCAGATTGTGCAACAGCTGGTCGATGAGCGGCTGAGGGTCCTGGAGCTGACCATTTTCAAAAAAAAATTCCAAGAGCTGAAGGACAGAGTAGACAAGATCGACTGTGCCACTAAACACCAGACGGCCGTCACCACGCTCCAGGTAAGAATCCCCTGCATCTTTCTTCTCAGAGCCGTGTGGGTAAGAAGCTGCTCAAAATTCCCTTCCCCCAGGCCCAGATCTAAAACCCTCTCTTCCTTCTTTATTCTGCAGGCCAAGATAAACCGCCTCACAAAGAAGTTTGGAGAGGCCAATCAGGCGTCGGAGAACAAACGGAAAGCGGACGTAAGAAGTTGTTTTTTTACTTTTACTTCGCTACACGCTGAAATCTTTGCACCTGGTGTGGAAGAAATTGTTTCTAAAGGCGCGCTGATTCCCGCAGGCCCTCGCTGCTGCCACTGCCGCTGCCGCCACTGCTGCCACTGCCGCTGCTGCCACTGCCGCCGCTGCCAAGACCGTGCCTGTTGCTAACAGCCCTCAAGTTCAACGGTAAGTGTGTCCACGCACAAAGCAAAGTCTCTGGCAGCCATGCTACATATGTGTTGGCTCCTGAATTTAGATATTAGGTCGTCCTTTTAGGATTTTTTTCTTTTTTGCGTTAAAACCTCTGTGCAAGCTCAAGATTGCCAGAGCATTTCATCCTTCTGACAAAATATTGAAATTCGTCTAAATCAAAACCTGTTATCTTTAAGTCATACAGCAGTCTGTACACTTTGGTATTTTTTGTGTGTGAATATAATTTGGCTTTGTATGAACGTGACAATACCGGACTGATGCCAGCACAACACGCCAAGCCGTTCACAGGGAGAATAGTTGACATTGTCCCCGGTTGCTACCTGTAATCACCAGAGACTGAATTCAGAAACTAACGGACACAATAAAGAATCCCTTCATCCTCCAAATCCAAACCGTTTGGGAAGCCAAGATTCCAAGTCCCCCCAGTTCGGGTTGTCGGGATCAACTTTAAAAAAAACAAAGTTCTTTAACTTAACACTTTGTAAGACTGGTTTGGAATAAACAAACAAACACAAACCTGTGTGGGTCCAGGTCCAGAGTCTTGTGACGTTCTACAATGTGAAGCCGTTTCCTCAGGCAGTGCAGAGTGTGGTTAAAACTGCACCTCTCCTCCCAACAGCGTGCTCCGTCGGCAGGCGGTAGAGCCGCAGCTGGAGGCGCTCCAAGAGGGTAAAGTTCCCGCACTGTCTGTCAAGGACAAGATGGGAAAGGAGGAGGAAGAGGACAAGGATATGGCGAGTCACATTGCTATGGCGAAGAAGATGGCCGAATACAACGTGGGACAGTGCCGAGCGGACATTAAGCTGCGGCTGATCACGCCCAACTTGGAGAAAGGGCTGTACCACGACTGCAAGAGGAGCTCAGGGAACCCCCGACCCGACCGCTACGCCTCGTATTTGTTCCGCTACCTCGTCCCGTACGATGTCTACTGCCGCTGGGTGGCCACGGTCAATTACGTCGGACTGGCGGGGAAGGATGCGCTTCCCGGCAACCTGAGGAGGACAATGAGGACGTTCATCGAGCGCCGGTTCCCCAAGCTGTCCTGCGACAGCTGGAGGGAGATCCGCGACGTCATCAACGAAATACTGCGAGTGAAGAGGAGACCGGAATTTTTTCAGGAATGTGGAGTCCGAATTTCTGCGTCCCTTTGACCGTTACAGAAGCACACTGGGACAATTGTCACGATGCGTCCAAAACATTTTGTCTAGATAAGCTTTACATTAAGATTCTTCGTCAGCGTTTCTCAAAATTGATTTCAGATTGAAAAGGGTCGCCCTCGGTATCGCTCCTATGAACTATTCCTACGGTCCACACCAATGAACATGTTGATATAACGTCTGGCATCACTTCAATAAAGTGTGGGACGCTCCCCACAAGTTGTTCAAATAAGACGTCTGTGATGTATGAAGTTGAATAAAATGAAATCCCCGTTCCACATTCAGTCATCTTGCTTGAATGGATCAAAACAGCTCTTAAGTATAAGCAATCTTTCTAAACAGGCCAGTCCGTACTTCCATGGAGCTAAAGCAGATCGGCGGAAGCGTTTCCTCGTCCAGCGCACTCGGTAAGTAGCAGGACTTCCTTCATGCTGGATTTTGTGTTTGTATTTTCCTTTTAATGTCGCTCCCAAAAATGTTTCTACTCAAGAATTTTAACCTGTGCTCTTAGTTCTTCCCACGTGAAGTTGGTGTTCTCAATGTGTTTGCGTGTTAGTTTCTCAAAGAAAAGACCAAAACCAACAATGATTTGCAGCATTTCTTGTGTCTTCCACATCCCCTTGGTTAGATTGGAGTCAAATAGCTTTTCTTTGGCATAAAGAATCTGTGGCTGAATACAGTCTCCATCATCACATCACAGGTCGTTCAGCTGACGCTTTTATCCAAAGCGACTAACATTACATTTTTAACTCCTGGCTTTTACATTTTGCCCGGGGAGCAGTCAGGGGTTAGACATCGTGCTCAGGGACAGTTTGACTTGAACATGGGGGGGACATGGGGCAGCCGTGACTCGAACCACCAACCTTGCACAACAACACCCCCTCTACCCCTGCGCCACAACAACGCCCTATCGATGTTTAGTCTTTGAGTAATGCCGGGTATCTTGGCCTGCTTCTGGTTTTGACCTGACTTTTAAGTACAAGGAGTGAAGGAGCACAACATCTCTGTGAAACACTTCTCCTGTCGCCCCCCCCAGCCAATCCAGCCATGCTGGCTCCGGTCTCGGGTCTGGCCCACGTGGCCTCGCCTAACGCCATGGTCTCACAGGCCTCCATCCTCCAGCTGATCAGCACCACTTCGAACGCTGGTTCCAACCTGGCCACAGGCATCACCACGCAGAGCCCCATGGGCACGCTGGTGCTGAAGACGGCCAGTGGGGGCAACTTGATGGCCGGGGGCCAGCCGCTTCTCATCCAGCTGCCATTGTCGATGACTAACGGCCAGACGGGGACGCTGGTCAACATCCCCATGTCCTCGCTGTCCGCGGCTGGCTCGCTCGGCAAGGCCAAGACCACTTCCACCACGACGTTCATACTCAAGCCGGCGCCCCCCATCACCACCTCGCCGGCCTTGGCGCCGGCAGTCGCCACCGTTCCGACGCTCCAGCCTTCCGCCGCCCAGATGGCGCCGGCCCAGATCACTCTGGCCCGGGCAGTGTACCAGGGCGGGGCAGGGGGGATAACCACGCCCAACGCGGGGGTATCCGTGACCACGGCCAGGACGCCGGCTCAGTCCGTGTCCGTAGCGGGAGCTCTGTCATCAGCCTCGTCACCGGCAACCTCCGGACCCGCAGCAACGGGTTCCACCGCTCCAGGACCCCCACAGGGGACGTCTCTGACGTCAAAGACAGGTGGGTGCTTCTTTGATAACCTTAGCTGTTGTCTTTTGCGGTATTTGAAATGTTGTCCTTCTCATATCAGACACTTTCTGAGCACATCGGCTGCCTAATCCATCACTTGTCCCAACGGATAATGAGTTTCTTTTTCTTCTCATCTTTAAATGATCTCTTTTTTTTTCAGACAACCAAGTGACAGAATCCACTCCCTCCAAAGCAGCTGCTCCAGCAGTACGACCCAAAGGCTCCGTCATCGACCTCACCGAGGACGACGACGACGTACTAGGTAAGCGTGAAGGACGCTGCTTTGTTTCTCTCACACACTATAATGCAAAGTAGTCTGATCACGTTCTACCTCCGCCTTCTCCAGTGACGGGGGTGAAGAGCGCAACGGTCGTGGCTGCCTCCCCCACCCAGAGGCTGCACCCGGTCATCAGCGTTCCCAACAGTAAGACCACGTTATACTGAGGGCGGGATTTGCAAAATCGTCCTTCTACCTGTTGGATTCTATTGTGATCAAATTCTTAAGTGGTTCTAAATTAAAATAAACAAACAACAAACACCACTAAATTGATAACGTGTGTTTAACATATCTAATTGTTTCATGTGCTTTGCCCTCAGGTGTGGCAGCAAGGTCGTCCCCGCAAAGCAATCAGAGCGCCAGCAATCCTCAATTGACAATCCACCACCGCCCCCCCCAGGTGAGGATGTGGAACTGCACCCACACATTTAGTAGTTTCATAATTGATATGCTCAGTGCTAAGTGTTATTTGTGTACCATTTTTTATTATAGATGATCTCTGAGCTTTCTACGTTATTCAAGAATTACTGATAGTAATCATTTCCAGCCCATTTTATCGGAGGAACAGCCCATTAACACTTTTCTTTTTTTCATCCCTTCATGCAGGATTCTCTGATAAAACCCCGGCCCGTTACCACCAGTACGCCGACCCGGAGCTCCAGCGTGGTGCTGCCCCCCCTCCCCGCTGCGCCCGTTCCCTCCCGACTCCCCCCTGAGGGCGAGCGGTCGTCGCCTCCCCAGCAGCCTCAGTTGAAGCTGGTGCCGAGCCAGACGGGCATCGTGCTGTCCTGGTGCGTCGCCGAGACAGACCGCACCTGCGCCGCCGTGGACAGCTATCACCTGTACGCCTTCCACCAAGACAACTCGAGCGGCAGCGCGGCGCAGCAGCACTGGAAGAAGATCGGGGAGGTGAACGCCCTTCCGCTGCCCATGGCCTGCACGCTGACCCAGTTCCAGTCCGGCTCCACCTATCATTTTGCCGTTCGAGCTAAAGACATTTACGGCCGCTTTGGCTCCTTCTGCGAACCTCAGTGCACAAACGTGATCAATTCCAGCACCAGCTGAACCGTTTAAGGGGTGGAAAACCAGTTCTTTACATTTAAAAGTTTACTTTACTCTTTTGTGTTAGAAAACTGAGTATTGTGCATTGAACTCATACAGTATCTGTAAATATATCTCTGCATAACAACTGGACTTGTGACTGAGCTGGAGAATCGAAGAGCGGCACACGGTTTGAATTCTCCTGTTACTGTACGTATTGTATTTTTTGTGACTCATTATGTTATGTATATAATTGGATTAGTTTGACTCAATCAAGTCAGATATTTATGTTGGTCCCCTGTTACTCTGACCTGGATGTATTTTGCGTTTCTCCAGATCAGGAGAGGATCTGAATTGCACAGAAATGTATAAATGTGTGCTAGAAACTGAGTGATAGCTTTTGTAAGTTTTGTCTGGAAACCAGACTTTGACAGATACAATAAAAATGTCTTTTTTAAAAGTCTTGGCGTATTCATTTTGTGACAAATGTCCTTTTGTTCATAGCTTTGACACTAGTAATCTACCACCACAGCAGGAACCACATTTTTCACTCTTAACTCTGACAAAAGCCCCATGTTTTATATTTCTAAATTGTACTCTTGTGAGAGCAGCAGAGTGCAATAGCTTCTCAAACTATGTAAGAACATTGACCATTCAAGAGGGTGAAACTAAAGAATTTGGCTGCTGTAACGAGTGTGTAACGTTACACCAAGAAAATATGAGCATACAAGTCACTATAGTTGTTTGTTCAATACTGTGTAATGTTCTATAATAAAAATGAAGACATATAAACCTCACGCTATATTTCTAAACACGTCGAGATGCTTGGTCCGTTGGGTTTGTGACTGTAGACACTAGAACTCCGTTGTCTTCAATAAGAAAAGCCCAAAATGGACTTTCAAGAAGAACACTAGAGTTGAATTAGGAAAAAGCCAGAACTCATTTTTCTTTAAACCCATGAGAGCTTGATTAAGAAAGAAATAACCTAAAGATCGGATATGCTCGTAACAACTTTATAGATACGTTCCATAAATCTGGATATGCATTAAACACACTATAGAGCAGTGTTTCTAAAACTTCATCATAATCATTATTTTATTTCAAGAACTTTGTTGAGAACTTGCCATAATACAAAAGTGCAAAGTACACAGACTTCTGTTGTCTCTTAAAAAAATTGAGAGTCTTCAACCCTGTTTTGAAAGGATCAGTAGTGGAAAGCAGGCTAACTGCAGACACTAACCAACATGTTATTTCAATACAAATTCAACACGTACTATTTTGTTGGGGCGGTGGGGCATGAACATTTTTCTTCGCTGCATTGTTTTTCTTCACTTTTCTTTTGATCTTTGATAATGATATGTATTAAAGTACTACAAACAATCACAGAGACATTCGTGAATATTCTGTCAGGTTTAAGTCTGCTGTGGGAATATCTCATTATTCTGACAATCGTGCAATAGTCATTCATGAAGCTTGTTGGTTTTAATTCAATGCTTTGCTAACTCGTCTAAATGTGTGGAGGCTAAACGTTCGCTTTGTTACTAAGAAACAGACAGTTTCCTTGATGGCGTCAGCTGTAACGCAAGGCAAGTTGATTTGTATGATGCATTTCAGCTGCAGGTAATTCAAAGTACTTTGCATAAAATCATTAGATGCATCAAAACATAAGAGAAAAAGGAAAGGGAATTCAAATACAATTAAGAACATAATTGCTGTAAAAGCTGTAAAGTGTTCGTGGAGCTGTTCTGAGTGGGTGCCCGGTTTTATTTATGCAATTAAATGCAATGCATTTATTTTATGCAACGCTACATTTACGATATTTAAAACAAAAAGCTTTGCTAATGTTTTACGAGCACACCACAGGAGGACGTTGATTTCTACCACACTGGTGCATTTCTCATCCACAGAAGCAGAGGAGAATATGACTCCATCGATAGGTATGAATGCAAGCAAACCTGGGAACCAATTACCCAGAGAGCCCTTTTCTCTCATTGTCATTGTACTTGATTTTAATTTATCTTGGAAATAAGGTCTAGTCAGCATTGTACTGCTTTAATAAAGTAATAGGTATAACAGGACAGTGAAACATTTAATACAGGTCAGAGCAACCTTATGAAAAACAAAAGGAAGCCCAACTGGTGGCACGGGTAGAAGATGCCTTGTTTGAGGGAGCTTGGCGATTGGTAGTTTGGTGTGATGTTGTGCTGGAGTAAAAACATTGTGTCCTACTACTTAAGTGTTGGATATCGGGGCACATTCTCCTGAACCTGAAGAGTTGAAGTATATTGGTTTGAGCTGTGACCCGTATGTCTTCAAAATCCACCTGTGGACGAATTTGTCTGGCATCTCCAGAGGGGTTACGAAAGCCAAGGGGGCCTAAATAAGGATACGGGATGACTACTGTGTCTGCTATTCGGCAATTGATTGGTAACAATCCGCTGAGGGTTGGTAGTTAATTCAATTAACAATCCCCTTCTCAATCAGGAGAAATGGCAGGACGGGGGTTAATTGGTACATGAGTATGTGATTCAATTACAATCACTTTGCTGCTCAAGTAATTTCCAAGATTTTAGGTCACTGACTATTTGGTTTGTTCTGTTTTTCTCTCAGCAAAGCAGGTAAACATACGTGGTGAACTGTCACGTCCTGTTCATGGCCGAGCTGCCAATAGGTTAAAGAAAGTTAAAGAAAAGTATTATGCACTTTATGCTTAATACTTTTCGTTAACTTTTTAATATTTAACATTTTTTAACTTTATTCCCTTGTTTTATACTAACCCATAGCCTTAGCCTCATTCTACTAACTCATTGCATTAGCATTTCATTCCACTTTATTTTATTACTTGTGCACTGTTGTCTTGTCTGTCTACTGTCGCACACTAACCGCCAAGACAAATTCCTTGTATGTTTGACATATTTTGGCTAATAAATGTTTCCTGATTCCTGATTCCTGATAGAAGCTTCCTGTCACCACTGAGGAGGAAGCTCTGCAGATTAAACATTCTCTTCATATGATTTTGTAGTCAGCTTGATTTGAAGATGTGGTCTTGCTTTTAACCTTGTATTGAACAATTCTCACAATTTGATGGTGTGTTGTCCATAACTGATTATTTTAAAGGCTAATTCTGACATTGCTGTTTTAAGTTTTATGACTATGTTGGCCTTTTACATTTTCGTTATTTGACATAAACAAACAATCTTTATACAGATGCTCAGAACATTTGTTTCTACACACTGTATTATACTATATGATATAGACAATATGGTCTGTCAGTTTAAACATAATTTAACATTACCAAAAGTCTCGTTGAAATTTGTTGCAGTCATATATATTTATACCGTTTAACCCTAACCCGATAAGCATGGATATTAAGTTATAGTAAACATTTTAAGACTAAAATGATATTGAATTAGAATATAATTGTATTACACTATACCCTTTGTCAATTTCACACAATTAATCAACTTAGGATGCTAGCTGACGTTTTATGAGCTAGCTAGCTAGCTAGCGTCTGTCGTGAAGAGCAGCAGGTCCTCGCTCAGAAGTTACACGGCAAGTGGTCTTATTTTCTTATTTTTATGTGTAAATCCCACAGAACTGATCCCTCATTCAAGACCACGAACAACAACCAAGTGCTGTAAGTGTGTTTGAGCGTCTTTCTGACCTCCGTCTCACACCAACGACAACGTCACTACCGAGGGAAGCTATTAGCTGAGCTAACGGTTCACTAAGCTAACCGTAGCTTCTGCGTCGGCTAGTGCGTATAAACGTCAAAGCGTTTGGTCGTATTTCGTTTTAACAAATTCATCAAATGATATGATCCGAATAAGGTATTTTATTTAATTAAGGAATAAGCAATTTAGCATTTCAACCCATGTTATATAGTCCCTGCGAAGGGTTCACTAAGGTTGACTTCATGTTATTTTGTTATAACGTCACCCGAAGACCCACAACGTCAACCTTATTAAGTCAGTTAATTAACGCTATAACGTCTGACATACTAACACATATTATTGATTATATATTGATAATAGAACTATTGCCTTTAACGGTTCCAACGTACTGGACCTTACCACTGAATTCTATGTGAGTGAACTTACTTGCGTTAACTAGTTCATTTTGTAGGTAGTTATTGCATTAACTTAAGTATAAATGCTTTTTAATTTTTCCATAGTTTGTTTCAAACGTCAGAATTTGACAGGTTGGATTTCCTGATGGAAGTAACGTTAGTAAACCCATAGGGACAGTGAGAGAATACGGTGTAAAATGCTCTTACACTTATTTAAATATGCTGGGAAACTCAGCCCAGGTTGACAAATAGCCCCTTTAATTATTCTTTTTGTTGATATCTTTATATATATTTACTTAGTGTTCTTTAGCTAACTACACAAACCAGCTGCCACTATTCTCTGTACACACACAGCAAGAGACATTATTATTATCAACAATTTAAAAATAGCTATTTTTCTGCAGAGGTGTTACTCTGAAATTGATTGAAACCTCCAATTAACCCCCATATTTGACTGATTTTGTTTTGGTCCGAGCACAGTGGGTCAACAGAGGGAGCCATTGCTTTCTTTGTGGGAACAAACATTCTTGACAGTTGTTGCAGTAGCCGTCATTTACTGTAGCGGCTCTCTGATTCACAATCCTATAGAGGGACCCACCTCCTCATCTCTCTCCCCCTCTCTCCCTCTCTCTCCCTCCAGAAGCGGCGGAGGAGAGCGAGCGAGTTGGAGCTGTGCTCTGTGCGCTTTGCCAGTCAGAGGTGTGTTGTTTCCCGGTGTCTTTGGGTAGCAGGACCCCGCCGTGCAGCCAGCCCCCCCGGTGCCATGTCCAACAGCTGTCTCGGTAAAGGGTCGCAGCTCATCTGAAGGGGGAAGGTAGCACCTCGCTTTGAGGAGGACAGAAGATTTAAGAAAAGAGAAAGAAGACTGAGCAGTTGCGGAGAGAGGGGGGATATATAACTGACACCCCCCCCTCCGCTCCTCACTAAACAGGGCAAAAACGGAAGGCTTTGGAGTATTCAATTTTTTCTTTCGCTTTATATTTTTCTTATTCCTCATCGCGGTGCTGGGAGGTGCTTCATCTTTTCATATAGTCTCTCTCTCCGTCACTTGCCTTCTCATCTATTTCTCCATCTACCTGGTTTACAATTTCCTCTATTTATGAGTGAGAGAGAAGAGGAAGGACGGAGGAGTTTTGTACGAGTTTTCTGTCCTTCCTTTCCTTCTCTCCTCTCTTCCCCCCTTTTTTCACCAAACCATACCATACCCGTCAGTCCCTCCCTGCCATTGCATTTCTAGCTGCCACCATCCGTTCATCACTCCCCACCGTACGCCTTTCTGTCTCACAAGTCTGATGTAATATGAACTTGGATGATTTTTTTTTTCTCTTTTTCAAAGACAACAAAAAAACCTCCTCATGAATGACTCTTTTTTCCCCTTTTCCTTCTCTTTTGGTCCCTCCACACCCATTTTCTTTGCATCACACCCGTGCGGGATTCTTAAATGTTACTCTAGGTAGGTTAACTATTGTTTAGTGTCTGTCCATCTGTCTGTCGGTGTGTATTTGTGTGTGCTTTACGTATGCATAAAACACACATTAACACACACATGTGCTCGCACACTAAACTATGCCTAAAACCACAGTGCTCAGTGGGTCGACATCGGTCTGCTCTCACACCGCTTTCACACCGTCTTCCTCATCCGTTCTTCTCGTTGTGGCAAAGTGCGCCCATTTTTAATTGTTCTCTGTGACAAATCCTGTTTTTTCATGTGTCATTTTTTCCATTTGACAGACAGAGCACTTTGTTTTGCTACCTGTTGTTGTGAATTAACAAGGGAACAAAAAATTAAGTTTGATCCCGAGAGAGGATGAGATTCATTTCTCGGCACCCTTCGGGGGCGTCTTCTTCCGTTTGGCTAGAATTTAGCAAAAATGGGAAAATTGTGTCTGAACTAAATCCACTCTTCATGTTTTGTTTTTGACATTTTTTGCCAGTGCATCAACAGATGTCAGTTGGCATTGAACCCTCCCATCACACACACAATCCCCACACCTTAAATACACCACACTATTCCATCATTGTCTGTGTATTCTTGTTGTTTCCATCCCATTGCGACTTTTTTTTCCCCCCACGACTGTCCGTTTTTGATCCCCGAAGCGCTTCCCCCGGTCCCACCGGTCTCCGTCCTCCTCCTCTGTTGGACTAGAGAGGCCGATGGGCATTTGGACGTTGAACGGTGGACTAAATGGCTTAACGCGCCTTTTCGGTGGGTTCCGAGTCGCAATCGCCGGTGTGCAGATTGTGAAATAGAGACAGACTGACAGACAGATAAAAATAGATATAACTTAATTTCCTCATCTCATCAAGACCTCCCTCCTCCCCTCTGTCACATACCCCCCCCCCCCCCCCCTGCTTTCTTTACGTTGTGTTTGATGCCTCGTCTCTGCTTCTCGCTGTCACAGCTTTTTGGGAGCGCCGTTGTGAAGCGTTACCCCCTCTAAAGGTTACGTTTTGTATCCTTGGACATACACCTGTGCACTAAGGGGAGAATTAGCGCCCAGTAGCGCAGGCCCCAGACCAGCCCCCTTTAGTCTGCTTCCTCCTTCTCTGTCACGGACTGACGAGGCGGCTTAATAAACACCTTTCTCTCTCTCTCTCTGCCTGTTCTGAGTGGGAAGTCAACATGAAGGCGTATGATGGACCACTCGATTCGCACTGTCTTTGCTTTTGTGTCTCAACTCTGCTCCTCTGTAAAACATCTCCACTACAGTGTATAAATTATGTGTTACAGAAAAGAGCTAATTAGGTGAGTAGTGAATTGATACAGCACCCACTTCTTCCGAGTGGATGCAAATGCATGGACAGCGTGTGTGCGCGTGTGTGTGTATTTGAATGTCTGCATGAGAGTGATGACAATATATCATGCATGAACTTTCTCTGCAAAGATTGTTCTTTTTGATATTTACCACCTCATTTGCTTGTGCCGCTAAACCTTTCTTCCCCCTGCTGTGACTAATTGGTTGTTTATCAGACCATGTCTTGATCTTTATCCATTTTCTATTTATATAAATAGAATTACTGTCATATCTTACGATTTCACGCATTATCCCTTCCCTCAATAGCTCTTTTGAGCAACAGAGACTTCTCACTCGACGACAGAAGCCGCTTAAAGATACTGTGTTATTTTGGATAAATCTCTCCTTGTCAGCGGACGTCAGTCAAGTCTCTTATTAAGTCAGTGCTGTGTGCAGGTGCATGCGTTCACATGCAATCCTTTGAGCCCTCTTCCTCTCCTCATGAATCAGCCAATGCCCTCCTCCTCCTCCTCCTTCTTCTTCTCTTTTCGATCCCCCTCCTCCATCATTACGTTTCTCCTTGTCTCCTGCCTGATGGATCTGCAACCGATCTCCAAAAAATGACTAGATTTGTGGGAATGAATCTCATGTGACTCATGCACCAGCTTTACTGGATCCGACTCTTCAGCGTGACCTTAATGAGCACACAGCGCACATATAGATGATGAAGGAGACGGTGGACAGGTGATCCCATGCTGCCGTGGCTTCTTTCTTCATCCACAAATCGTACTGTGTTAATAAAGAAGCTTATCGCCTAGTTAGCAAAAGAGGATTAGACAAAACGTCAACAAAGTTGTAAAGGTTTACGCATGAAAACATCTTTAAAATGTGATTTCAACGAGGCTGATGCTGAAAACACTAAATACTCAAGCGTCCTACGGTATTTGTGCCATTTAGCTGTAAATTAATAAAAATAAAACATGAAAACAGAACAAAAACAAGGGCTGCTTCCTCCAATATTCTGTGAACACTGAATGAGTTTCAAAGTGAAAACTGTGAGATCTGCCCTGCGGTGAGCGCTCAGTAGTAGTTCAAATGCAAAGTCTTTAAAGGGCGCGCTCACCTCTCGGGTTTCAGGCCCATTGAGATGGTGGAGATCCTCAGATATTCAGAATATCAACAGCTCGCACGTCTCAAAGCAAGTGAAAGGAAGAGTAGGAAGCGTCTTAATTTGACTGCATTTGGATAAAGTAGGGAAGTAACCCACACACCAACACTAAAAAGCACTAAAAGCTTTTCTTCAGAAGGAAAACGACCGAAATAACAGAATTCTGCATTTTGATTCATCAAGCTAGCGAGGGAACTAAACAAAGAAACAAGCCGTGTTCAGATGTTTCCTGCTAAGGTTTATTTATGGAAATGTTTTGTATTATTCCACTTAAGTCAAGCTATCAGTGTCATTTTAATACAACTGAGAGTCAGAGATAATTCGCCTTTGAAGGAGTCACAGAGAAAGATGGTTTTTACTAAATAAAATTTGTCTAATGAATAATTTATTGCACTGCCAGACGGGATTAGAATTCTACACATAGAGATATCCTGTGACAATTTCCCTGAGGCTAAATAGTGTACCTACATATCGCACTTCCTCGGCTAAACACACACGCAACACACAGACACACACACACACAGACGCATCCCTGTCAGCATGTACATTTGAATAGAACAAAGGACATTAGGCAGGATAAATGTAACTACGGCTGCAACTAATAATAATATCCACTATGGATTAATCTATTTATTAATTAATTCAGTTTAGAAAATAACAAAGTAGAGAAAGAACCACTAACCCAGAGTCCAAGATGACGTCTTAAACCGTCCAACCAAGAGCCCACAACCTGGAAACAGGTTTTGACAAAGGAAACAACAACGAGTTATCTAAGTGGTTGCTTAATATTACTAATTGACTCACCAGTTCAGCTCCATTAGATTACGCTGCCAGACCAAAGTCGAAGAATGACGTATCTTACCCTACAACGTCAAACCTTGTGAGATGATTTCATTGAAGCAGTTTAAGGGAGCACCGGATTTTGAAATCTGCTAATATAATTTAATAAGTAAACTACGAAATAATTATGGAAAATAATTAGCAATATCACAGTGCATGTGGTTCTGGATATATATTTACGTTAATTTAGTAGAAGACGGAACAATAAAGGGAGAGCTGTTTGAACAATTTGATGATGAAAAGCACCAGAGTCCATTTTGGGCAAATTAAAGCACCGTACCAATTAAAAGGCTCACGTTGCTGCAGGAATAAAATTAACATCCAATAAGCAGGAGAGTTACAACAAGTGCCCCGATAAGAGATACAAAAGAAGTGTTTATGAAAGCGGATTAAAGCGCCGCGTGAGCATCTCGCACGGATAAAATAACACAGCGATTTAACCAGACACGGTTCAACACAGCAGTTTGACCGACTTAATCCTTGACCTCCGAGTTAAGCCGTGACCTCTGAGCTAATTGACTTGTAGACACTTGTAACAACACATCCATCCACCGTCCTTCTCTTCTTCTTCTCCCCTCCAGACTGAGAGAGAGGAGAGCGCAGAGCGGCCCGCCAAACCCATCATCATGACCGGCTGAAGCAACGCCAAGGCAAGCACAGCCAGAAGAAGAAGAAGAAGAAGAAGGAGAAGGAAGGGAGGGAGAGAAGAAGAAGACGAGGAGTACGTGCAGACCCGCTGCTGCTCATCTCCACGGCAACTGTGTTCTCGCCAGCTCACAGACTTCTGGGAGGAGACCTTGGCGCGCTGCATCGTCGGCGTTGGAGGAAGGGAAAGGGAGTCGGATGGAACGGGATCAATGAAGGAGCGTCCCTCCATCGCTCGCCATCTGCCATCGTTGTGATTCCTTTCGTTGAGTTCACACACTGACATTTTTAGTTGATTTTGTTGAACTTTTTAAAAGTCAAAAGCATATCTTTTTTTAGCCTCTTTATATGTCAAAATCGTTGTTTGTACACGATTGATGGTCCAACTACAGTCCAAAAAACAATCACCTCCACCCCCACTCAAACCAAGACTCCCCACCTGTCGCTCTGCCAGACCCCCGACCTCAGTCTGCCGCCGCACGGGGACTTCATCTGTCTACCATCCCTCCACCCGAGGCTATGAGAGGAGGAGTCCAACCCCACATCACTCCTTCAGGCCAGTTCTGAAGAGCAGAGAGGAGATCCGGGCTGGCAATGTTCAAGGTAGGCCAGTGACTCCAACCCCTAGTTCGCTTTCGTTTGGCTATGATCATTATTATTCTACTTTTAACTTTTAATCACATCCTGGTTCAACCACAGAAATTGTCCTCACTTTTGGGTCAATTAAACATCACGGGAGGTGGAGATCAGTCAGTATTAAGTCATGTGTGACGACACACCTGGAGCCTCATGAAGATCTGAATTATGATTTATTTGGGTAAAGTTTAGGCAATGACAGTGACTGTGCGTCATATGTATATAAAGAAAGACAATATATCTATATCTATATATCTATATATATATTAATATGTATATATATATACATATTAACCCTTTGATCCCCAAGCAGTTTTGAGGCGTAGATGTATTTTATGCAGTATAACAATTACACACAGTTACAATGTCATAAATCACAAAAAAAACAATTTATTTGAGCGATTCCCATTTTTACAACGTCTCTCTCCTTCATGCACTGTGCAGAATGCTGTTACCTCAGATGGTTTATTTTGGCGCGCGGGTTCAAATGAGACGTGTACCATAAAAGGTTGAAAATCACAAGCTGGACTGACACTAATGAGGGTTCTTGTGGCCTCCACCTGGGAACTGTGTAGCTTTGCCGATTGCTCAAAAGAACTGGTACGTTTTAGTGATGAGGGGGTTAAAGTGAGAAGCTGTTCACTGGGAGTTCACTTGGCTGTAAAATGTCACAGTGATCCTACACATTCTATTTGAAGTCGTATATTCTAAAGAGTGGCTTTAAACCAGGGTCGCTATGCAGAAGAACCTTTTGTTATTAAGTTTCACAATGAAAGACCCCGTAAAGTGCAGACATCTTGATGTTTAAACCTGCGCTTAGAAGCTTGTGGGAATTCTTGATTTTGAGCGAGACAACAGAGGACGGGACAGAGCAGGATGAAGAGCGTCCATACTGGGAAAGTAGAACGCACAAATTGGCTTTTTTCATTTTAGTCACATTCTTTGGGAGGAACCCCAGCGTTGAGATAACAGCGTCAAGGCACATGCTGAGGCAATAGTAACCGAGGATGGCGTGACGCTACCAACGCGTTACTGCTGAGCCTGTTCTCCTTCCAGCAGCCGCTTAGGAGTTTGATAGAACAGCACAGTTAATAGTTGCAGAGGGCAGAGAAAAGATAATGGAAGGACTTGTCCATGAGCACAGGAGAGGAGATAAAGAGTACACATCCGCTCTAAAAGGAGAGTTTAAACTAAAGACTTTTATTTGTGAGAATTAACTTTCAGACCAGAGATTCTAAGGGTGTTTTGAAACGGCCCCAATCCTCGCAAACCCAAAACAAGAGGTCCTCCATGTTTGCGTCCCCTGACCCGCGGACATCCCATGTGGCGGTCCAGTTGTGACACGCCTCTATCGTCACACCCGGTAACGCCCCTCCTTCTCAAAGACATCAGCTTCAGCGGCGAGCGCGACCCGCCCCACGGACACTGCGGCCCACAGCTGCCTCACCGGCAGCGTTTCAATCCGACCCTCCGACCCTCCGACCCCACACCTCTCCACGTCGGGGCCCGGGCCGGCACCGCAGGGGTCCAATGGCTGCATGTGAACCGTGCTTCTGGGGCAGATTTTCCATCTCAAATAGAAAGACGTGGGCGTGGCAGCGTGAGCGAGGGGTCGAGGCGTGGCTGACAGCAAAGGAGACAGACAGTCGGACACCGAGCAGCAGGCGGTACATTCAGAGGCAGCCTCCCTGACAGGGTGAAGGAGCAGCTCTGTGGACAGGGGCCGCGTCCTGATGCTGCATGTTTCTGGGGATTGTGGTTTGGGAGGGGTGGGGGGGGGGTTACTGGATGTCCAGTGGCGGTGGCGAAGTGTCACGTGATATATATATATACATTAATATATATGAGCGGCGGGACTCAGGCTGACTCAGTTTCAGATGCAAAGCCTCATGCGCCCGGCTTAACAAATGTTGATTGAGTCGTTGAAGGATTACAGGTGCCGAGCAGCCTGGTGTTGTTTATTGTTTACTCACAAGCAGGGAGAGGGAGGGAGAGGGAGGGAGAGGGAGGGAGAGGGAGGGAGAGAGAGGGAGAGAGTGGGAGAGAAGTGCTAAGTAGTTACACAACGCCACAGAAGAGCCTCTATCATCCTCTTTTAGGTTTTCTGCAAGAAATGATTCAGGTAACACAATCCAGAGTATGAAATAAACTCATAGCTACAACTACGTTATCTATAGTCGCTATAACTCGACCACCCAACGGTGAGTAGCTGAGCGCCATCTAGTGCCAGACGGTTAGATTAACTTTTAATCTCATTCATTTGGTAATCTGCAAAAGTCATTAGATAAAAAGAGAAAAGAAATGAAATGTTATTTCAAACAAAGAATACTTTTATCGGTCGGATGTGAACCATAAATTGAGGTTGAAAACTGCTCTGAGGCAACAAATGAGCTGACCCGACGCCCATGTGTGTGCACCCCGGGTCACACGGACAGGTCCTTTTGCAGACACGGCTCTCACACATTTACATGTCCATTTGAACCCCCACTGTGAAAACTGTCTGGAGTTATTATTAGTTAAATAAACTGAGCATAGCTGCCATTCCATATTTCTTTTGTTAGAACCAGAAACCGAAGCTGTCTCTTCTCCCGCTCCTCTTGCGTACCTGTGCGCGTGTGACAGGGAGAGAAGGAGGGAAAGCTAAGAATAGAGAGGAAAGGGGGCCCAGCGCTTCCCACGCCGCTCAGCTTCTCCGCGTGCCAGCAGGCGTTCAGCCGCTCTGCGCACGCGCCTCGTGCCACGTAAGGCAGCGACGGAGGAACCGAGCACCCTGTTCACCTGCAGAAACGTTGGCCGCATGCAGACATTGGATCAGAAAGGGTCATTGCCGAAGGAGAGACTTTTTGAGGCTCCTCCACTGACTCTGTTTTATTTTTTCGTATAATACTTGAAAGAGAATTGAGTGAAAGGGTCGAGGTGCACAGATTAGAGGAACTGGTGGAGGGGGTTTGATAGCTGGAGGGGATATTTGATGACAACGTGACTCTGAAGGAGTCTTTGCTTGCATGATGACAAGATGATGATTATGTTTTCAAAGAGCGAGGGGGAAACGTTGAAAGAAGGAAGCAGAACAACAAAACATTTGGAAGAAGAAATCCGCAGAAGCAGTTTGCTTTAAAGAGGATGAAAGCTTCACAAGTAATTCCTTTGGCTAAACGCAAACCAATGAATCAGAGTAAAGTTACTGTTCTCATTTCATCCTGTAGTAGATCTGTTTTTGCTGCTCAGCCCGTTGCAGGTGTCAATAATAAATCCTTATTACCCTCAGGGGCCTGGGCGGGGGGGCGGGGGGGGTGTCAAGTAATCAGCACTCACTTGAGATTTAGGGGGGCATTCAGAGAAACTCCAACATGAAGGAACACGACGAGCCGGGTGGGGAAGAGCTGTCCTTTATTTAAGATGTCGTTCTCTCAAAATGAAGCCGAGGAGCAGCTGATCAGTGAGCCAGAGGGAGAAAGCAAGGGCAACCTCTCAGGCCTGAGTGGACTCTTACTGATGGACGGTGTCTTTTATTCACATTATCAGCTGATTAACATCACACAGCTTAAGTAGATCCAGACTGAAATGAAAATCGGAGCTTGATTCGCCGCTCGTATAATCTTGTGATTTGGTGAAGATAATGAATTAGATGCTCAGAGATTTCATCAGCCAACGAGTGGAGAGTTGGAAACCTGAACAAGACGGTCTGCAGACACGCCGAGTCGAGATGGTGAACTCTACAAAAGATCAATTCAGTGCATTGTGCTGCATTTGTTTTGTAGACACACAATGGATTGATGAGTGGAACATATGTAGAATGGAGTCGCGGTTATCAATAATCAATGCGCTAGTAACGTTACACCTTTTAAATTACAACGCCGTCTTGTATTCTTGGCTCGCCAAATGGAGAGGATAGTGCAAACCAGGTCCTCCAAGGAAAATCATATATATACAGTATATATATATACATAGTGTATTTTTTTGCCACTAAGAAGTGGGCTCTGAGGGTGAGCAGATATTTTCTGGATGTAGTGGAGAAGAGAAACAATCATTTTGTCTCATCGGATCTGAGGACGTCCGGCGGGGCGAGTGCAGAGGTCTTGGGACTCGGGTGATTAAAATGGAATTATAAAACAAAGTGATTAGCAGGTCCTCCAATAAACTCCTCCCATGGTTGTCAGGCGCCACGGGGGGCGCCATCAAAGGGAAACCCAGGAGAGACGTAGCTGCTCAGATGAGAAAACACCAGCAACTGGCTCGGTGCAGAAGATAGAACACTCTGGTGTCGTGTGCTTCTCTGACATGCCAGTGAGAAAGAACACACTATGGTGAGAGCGTGTTACCAAGTGTCACGGGGTGACATGATGCATCGGGGCCACGGCGTGATACCCTTTAGACCGTGGGACGTATTGTACGTGTGACATTGGTCCGGGCTGTAGAAGACCTCTGTATTTCTACATCACAATTTAGTGCAAAGCAGGAGAGACGAAACCTGGGTGCAATAAATGGCTTCAATGAGGTAATAAGACCCCGGGGGGCAGATGTGTTTCTGCTCCCTCGGGCCTCAGGATCTGCACCGGTGTGTGATGTTGTGTGCGCTCTCTGTCTCGGTGAGTTTATTTGCCCCTGATAAGGAGACCATGTCCTGTTATTTAGAGCGCTCGGTGAGACAGCACAGATCCGTAGTGCGTCTCATTATAAGTGCAATTAGTAGAGGAGTCTTGACCACGCTTAAGTGGACTTAAGACACCCGAGAACCTCTTCAATAAACTGGTGGTTCGTTTTCCTCGGCCTGCCCTTCTGGCCCTTCTGGCCCTTCAAGACGGCACCGAGGTGACGGATTATTCAATATAGAGAACGTTGTATTAGAAGATTACTCAAAGACCAGTAACACTTTCATGACACACACCGGCCCCTGTTTTATTTTGCCTACTCTGCTTTGTTGGGCCGTAACATTCTCACCCTCTCTCATCCCACCGTATAACTAAACCCCAAATACTGAAGCGTCAAGAAGAATCGGCACGACTACGAGACCAAAAGGGAAGCAAAGGTCTGATGCGATGCGTGACTCTGGCCTTGAGAAGCCTTCAAAGGTCAAGGATGTTTAAATGAAATCGGTCACAAAACGCTTCATTTGCTTGTGTATTTTCGCTGGTTTTGTTAATATTAGAAGAATATGTATTATTAAAATATTATATTCTGACTACGGCAGAGGAGCAGACAGTCACCGCTGTGAGAGTGAATTGAATAATTACAGCGCATGTAAATAGAACTTGTGTTGACTTCCACTCCCCCTGCGGGCGACTCATTATAGCCGCACGATGTCTGATTACCTGAGCACGATGTCACGCGGCTCTGACTGGCTGGACGTCGTTCATCCAAAAACAGCACCAGTCTTCTGGTTCGCGCCATTTCAGAATATGTACGTTATATATATATATATTTATATATAGGTCTGTGCGCTCTCCAGCCGCGTTTCAATTCTCTGTTAAATAAGAGTGAAGGAAAGGCAGCGAGGGCTTGACTCTCTTCATCTTTTGCAAACGTTCCAGTAGAACCGAATGGCGTGAACCCAAAAGAAGAAAATTCAACACAATGTTCATCTAAAATAATCCTGTTACTTGAGGTGGATTTTCTGTGTTATCCATGGAAGCCGTTATCAACTCAGCCGTTTATTTCCCATCAACCATGTAAGAAATAAAGACTCTTTGGGCTTAGTGTTTGTTTCTGGAAGTCGCACATGACATGGGAAGCCACACATGGGCTGGTTTGTTACAGCTGTTTGATTTTGGTGTGATTTAATTGCAATAAATGGTCAAAACGATGACTGCATAAGGATTCAGATAGCATAGAATCCTGTATGGTTATTTATCTCTGCAAGACGACAGGGAGATTTAAAATCGAATAGTTTCCTTAGTGGACCATGGCGGCAGAAGGTCAGTGAGGAGCATCTCAACGCTGGCAGGCTACCACATGACTATTTGCCTTCTATCAGCGGCTCTTAGTGTCTATTTGTCTCTTTGTATAGACTTTGTATGTGATCTACACCAATATTACTAAAAATGTGGTTTGCGTCATTTATCAATGTTACTTGTGACCGTGTTTTCAAGGCCTGTCTGGAGACGGTTGCTGATTAGCTTCTGTGTTAGCTGTGTGTTGTGTTTAAAGCTGGACGGATGCTGCAGGGATGACCGGTTCAAATAGGCCCGACCCGGAGGCCCAGAAGCTTTCATCACACCGGTTCCCTCCACAAGACGACGGGTTTCCCTGTTGGATTAGTGCAGAACAATAAGCCAGTTGTTACTAAGCTACTAACTAAGTTCATGATACTTACAATGTCTCTTCAGCTACATGATCTCAGTATACACCACGGCCGGAAAGGCAACTGACTTTCTGAAGACCCGTAAAAGAAAGAGATTTTTATCGGCAGACAGAAGTCCACCGGTGTGAGCGGCGCCGCGTCTCAAGCAGCTCTGCTTATGCTATCAGTGCTTCGTGCCATTTGCGTGGCTTCTGTGATCAATGCTCTTTGCAAATGTTAAGTGTGAAATGACTGACACGATCGGCCTCGACCCAGAAGCCCGCCTGTATGCACATGAACCCGACGGCGTGTGTGTGTGTTCATATAAGGGCTCTCACATTGGAAAAACAGGAGCCATGTGAACGCATTAGGAGGCCTCACATGCTGCTTGACCTTCCACCAAAAAACATCTCAGTGTTTCCCCTACCGTTATATCAGGGGGGCCACATCTGCCTTTCACCCGGGGTTAGCCACGTTCGCTCAACACACCCACATGTGTGTGTTGCCGGCAAGGCAGACATGCAATTGCTGTGTGAGTGCGGTAATGGGCTCAGTAGAGCGTATAAATCCACGCGTCAACCGCTCAATTCGTTTGTTCCATTATGCGACGAGTATATATGCTCCGCACTTGACACCCTCCATTTAAACAGCATTAATTGGGGCCCGTTGATGACGCAGAAATAACAGGATGCTCCCTCCATCCTGTTATTTCTGTTTATCCGCCTGTAGCAGATTCATTTTTAATGCAAGGTACAGTAAAAAGCGCCCCAGCGGATCATCTCTATCCGCAGGAGTGCATCAACTTACGCAACGTGTGTGTGTGTGTGTGTGTGTGTGCTTCTCCGTTCGGCGTTGGCGAGCGTCTTACTTTACACTAGTGATGAAAGTCAATTGTATATTATTAGGCGCAGCCACGCGCTGCATGTAATGCGCTGCGTGAATTACTGCGCGTCGTGTGTATCTTCCTGTCCGTCAGGGTTCTGCATGGAGGGGCATTTGAATTGTTACTATGGAAACGGAGCTGTGCCGTTGTAGAGAAACGCATACATCCGAACGGGTCTCTCTGTCTCTCCCTCCTCCCTCGTTTGCTGTCACACGTCTTGCATTATTTTAAAAAGATTTTCCTCTAATAGTGTCCCCTCTTTAGCGCGCCATCCTTCCTTTCTTTCTCAGCACAGTGTGAGTTGGAATCATTTCTTAGTTTTCCCGGTTTCTCCCTTTTGATTTCCTCCACCTCCTCCCCACCCTTGACTCTTCTTTCAGCGTCTTGTGCTAATCACGTCCTCTTTTCATCTTTCTTTCCTCAGCCGTGTTGCTCTTCCACACCTCCCTCCCTCCCTCCCTCCCTCCTCTGGGTTCCTTACTGCTGTTCCTTCCTCCACCTCCGTCTCTTTTGTGTAGGTCTCTATTTATTCTCTCTCCTCTCCTCTCTGCTGCCTTCCTCCCACTTGTTTCCTCACCCTCCTCTCTCTGTCTCTCTGTGGCATGGAAAACATTGCCAGTTTACAATTAGTTTGTGCACCTGCAGTTGAACCCGACAAACCTTTGGTAATTAGACCTTTTAGGCAGACAGTTTTATTCATTTGGTTTCGGGTGGAGCGGCCTCCCTGTTCTCCACCTGCCCGTTTCAGCCCTCTGTTGCTGTTTGGCCCCCGTGTCCGATTTCAGTTACCACAACTTCTCTCTTCTTTGTTCTGTTTGGTGTGTTTTGGTGCTGGCTGCTTGATGAATAAGAGATAAGTGGAGGTGTTGCTGTGTGAGCAGAAGAAGGGAGATCTGTTCCCTGTGCTCCTCCGTGCTCCATCACATAGCTTATGCTAAATTAAGATTCCACGTCTTCATCTATGCAGGAAATATGCCATGATTCGTGCCCCCGCATTACAGCCGAGTAAGAAACCGCAATTTTCACATCCATGAGTAAATGTGTTTCACCTGCCTGTCACCTCCCTGTGCTTACATGTTTCACTCAAACTCCCCCCATGGCGTCTCCCCCGTACTCCCCCCCACTGCTCCCTGTGTGTCTGCTAATAGAGGCATAGTGCACACCAGCAATACTAGTAAACAATGGGTCTCAAGTTGATTTGAAAAGTCTTAGCGAGGTGATCTCAGAAGATGGGAGGGAGCAACTGAAAGAAAACAGGCTTGGGGGTTAAAAACGAGACAAGCGGGGAAAGTAATGGGCGAGAGAGAGGGAGAGAGGGAGAGAGGGGGAGAGGGAGAGAGGGGAGGGGGAGAGAGGGAGAGGGAGAGGGGTAGAGAGGGAGAGGGGGAGAGGGGGAGAGAGGGGGAGAGGGGGCGGTCTGAGTGTCTAATGGTCACTTATCCTGGTGGCAAGTCCACGAAGCTGTGAGTCTGTCAATCTGTCCAAATGCACAGACTGCTGTCCTGAGTCACACGCACACATGCACACATGCACACACACACACACACACACACACACACACACACACACACACACACACACACACACGCACACTGTGTCGTGGACGTGTGCCACGGGGTTCCTCAGTCTCAGCCCAGTGTAATGGAGTTGGTGGTGTCACTTGATGCTTTATGGAAGCTCTCAGTGTTTGAGCTCTATGTGACTCACCTGCTGTGGTAATTAAGGGGTAAAGTGTATATTTTTAGGATCCTGATCAATCCTTCATCTATGAATGTTGGCCATTTTAATATGAAGCACCAGCAGTTTTTAAGCTGGTGAAACATGAAGGCTCGGTGTCACCGTATAATCCCATCAAATAAATGAACGAATTAATAGATTCTTACTACACAGTTTTTTGTTAGCGGCCAATATGTGTTAAACAATCAAAACAATAGCCTTCATTTGGAATAACAAGATTTAAAGATATTAAAGATAATATGCTGGTTGGTCTCAATTAGCAAATTGAAATTGGTGGTGTTTTGGGTTTTCATCTGCCAGAAGCGAGTACCCGTCCACGCCACACAGTCTGGTCATCAGCTGCCTCGGATGGCTGGTTGGAGTCGGCCCGGGTTCCTTTTGAGTGAAGTTCAATGTGTTCGTTAGGAAGTAAGGGTCGCTAATTAGCACTAACAAGTTTCCCTTTTCCCGGCGTCGACCGCGCACACCCGCTGACCCGACGGGATCGTTTTTCCAATGGCAGGCGATCGCTGGAGGCACCGCGGAACATTTGCGTTGCGTCGGTGTGAACGAAACAAGCGTGACACTTAGCGGTGGAACTCGGTATTCCGACCGGTCAAATATCAAACCACTTTTCACCCTGTGAGTTCTACGGACTTTACACCTGGTAATTGCTCTGTTTCCTTCTCTCCCTGCAGGGACGGCATTCACACTCCTCCACAATGCTTGTCAGCCTCCACCTTCCTCCCTCCCGTCTTCACGACAAGCGCTTCGTCTCCTTCCTTTCCTCCCCCCAGCATCCTCCTTCTCCTCCCCCAGACCGGCCCTCTCGCCGGCCTTATCTTTGGCCAACCCCGCCCTTGCTCTCCTTGTCCTTCTCTCTGCTCCTGCTCTCCACACTCATGCTACCCGTCTGCGAGTCTCGCAGGGCCGGAGGAGGGACAGGCACGGGGCCCGGAGGGGCCCCCGGGGGACAAGGCGGCCAGAGGGGAGGCGGCACCCAGAGGGGCGTCGTCATCCCTCCCCAGTACTCTCCCGCCTCACCGGCTGTCCCGCCAATCGGTCCCAAAATGATCAACTCCCTCAGCATAGCCGTCATCCTGGTGGGCAACTCCAGTGACGTGACCCTGGGGGCCGGACTGGAGAAAGAGGACTTCCTCCACATCCCTTACCCTCCTAAAGTCGAGTTGGTCACCATGAACGAGACCGACCCAAAGAGCATCATCAATCGCATCTGCGCACAAATGACGAGGAGCTCTCTGCAAGGCGTGGTGTTCGGTGACGACACGGACCAGGAGGCCATCGCCCAGATCCTGGACTTCATATCCGCCCAGACACACATTCCCATCCTGGGCATCAGGGGAGGCTCCTCCATGGTCATGGCCGCCAAGGTAGGGAGAAAAACTAAAAGATTCAACTTGAAACTGTTTAGCAACAATTTGCTGAGCCCACACGATAATCAGGGCAAATCATCCGGCAGTGAGTAGGGAGGTTCTCGCTTCTTCATCCGTTGGGTTATGCTGAAAACACTGCAATGGATTTAATCCAAGAAGCAGTAAAACAATTAACAGTTCTGATTAAATCTAGTCTGATGATCAATTATTTCCAAGATATCGACGGTTATTTATCCATAGGAGTCACACAGAGAGTTTAGTTTAGTTTTTTTGGTGTGAGGTGTTTGGTTCCTCTACAATAATCAGAAAACCTGAAGAAAAAAAGATGCATCAGCCTCCCACCACTCAGCGCTGCCTCTGTGCTGATTGATTTTGCTGTTAATTGACCTCCTCCGCGAGCCTGACGTCACTTCTGACAGCGAGTCGACTCAAACTCCAAAAGGACTCCCAGCGTGAGACAAAACCGCACATAACAAGTAAAAAAACAGCTCTGTGGGAATCGGGGGATAAAAGACATTTGTACACAAACCAGAGTCGCACAAGGAGAATCTACGATCCACAAATGGAACAATAGATCTGGAAAGTGTCCTTAAATAATGTGTTAATAGGCTTAACACAATCCATACGACGCTTTTCATTCGCCTGTCGATGCAGGTTTCCATTTCAATGGGGCAGATTCTCTGCAGTTGTTAGTTTGGAATGAGCGATACCGTCGGTAGTGTTCTATATATAAAGTGTTTTTTCATTCATTTCGGGTGAGGATGTCCAAGATACTGGAGTTTACCTTTTTTTTTATCTGACATTATGGGAAAGTAGTTGGCTAATTAATCGTAGTATCGTCTCATTAGCATTTCCCGGTCTTTATTAGGTATTGTTAGTGTTTCTCCGATGCTGGTGCTAAAACGACATTTGTAAAACAAGACCGGGTTCTGATCCGATACTTTTAAAAACAAAAAAAGCACAAAATGACAATTGACGACATTAAAGAAACTATAAACCATGTATGAACTGTTAATAACAGTTTACAGTATACTTACACTGTTTCCCCTCTGTAAGTGTTAGTGTTAGTTAATTGGAATTTTGGGAATAATTTTAGATTATTCTCAATGTGCAGCAGTAACATATTGAAAAGCATTTATTTATGGACCGACGCTCCTCGCGTGTCGACTTATTGACGTCATGATTGCAGCAGGTGCAACACAGAGAGCTGCCTTGGGCACGAGAGCATATCTTTTTCCTGATGTGTGACAAAATTTATTATTTCTATATTTAGTTGACGCTTTGCTGCGTAAAATAAAAACAAAACAAAAAGAAAATCTCCTGTCATCTGCATAAGTTAATGAATTTACTGCAGCTCAATTACAGCTTAATGACAAACAACAGCGAAGGAACGACGCTCTGCTCACGACAGGCCACCAGTTTCCAGCACACGTCTTTATACGGTGTGCAATGGATCCAAACCAGCCAGTGTGCCATGTCACATCTTCACCTGTGTGCTCGAATGCAACAGAGCATGCAATGCAAATCATTTGTTTACTACATATATACACTTTCTATATTATAAGTCAAAAAGATGGATTTACTACACGTTGGCATTCAATCCATAAAGACTAAAATGCAGAATGGAACAAAAGTAAATGATACTGTCATGAATGTGAATATGTTATTTTTTCACACAACATGAATCTATATTCGAGCGGTAAACGTGGTGTGTTTCCTTTACTCACAGTAAGCAGCTTCTGATCCACCAGGGAAACTACAAATGTCAAGATCGGTTTTCTACGTCAAAGCAAATATATGAAGGAAAATACAATCATCTGAATCTATTCTTTCATTTCAATGGAAATAATTGTTAAATTGTAGATGACGATAGCAAAATAGGATGATTTAGATTAAAACAACATTTGGTACAGTTAGACTCCGTTCTACAGCAAACTAACGTGTTCATTCTCTCCATTGAAAGTTGGAATTAATTGTGAAATGAACACCGGCAGATTTGTCAGAGAGTATAAACTCTGCTTTGACCAATGAAAACTCTTTTTGTGCAGTTTGTGGTTCGTGCCACACCCGCTGACTTTGTGTTACCACGAGAAGTTTGTTATTGTCTGAAGGCCTTCTGGCTCGGGCACAAACTGATAAATACACGGTAGGAACTCAATTATCACAGCGCAGATTCCCCCTGTGGAGAATCCTGATTATTATGATTAGATTGTGGAAAACATGTTGCATAAATATGCATGATAATCAAATCATTTCAAGAAATCACCTTTTGATTTCTTCAAATGACTGCAGGTAAATGTTTTGTGTTAAAGTCTTTTGTGTGCGACGCACCATAACAGATCTATTCACCGATGTCATTGTCATCAGCTGACTGAATATCCACGATAACCTACACCCATTATGAGGATCACAAGCGACTTTTTATTATATTCTGAGATGTGATGACCAGCTTTACTTGTTGCTCAAATTGAAGAGAGAAGAAACGAGATAAAATCTCAGAATTAGGTTAACGTTACAGCAGGCGATCAGAAACACTGGTGATGACCACCGGCCGCCGTGTCTCCATCTTCTCTTCTACACACACCGTCTGCACATCCAATGTGATGGATGCTGAGATGATGGGGAAAGGACACTGTGTGTGGGGGGGGGGAGGTTATGATGTGACACAACTGTTGTGGGTGGGAAGGAGGAAGAGGACATTTAATTACCACATTGAACAGCTGACAGTGAAACAAAGGGCACAAACTGGGAGCGACAGGACGCACATGTGGAGGAGAGTTAAACCTTCCGCGTTTTTCCCACCTCAGTAAAAAGCATCTGTCTAATCGGCGTCCTACAGTTTCTGGTGCTGCGCGTCCGCCCGCTGAACCCCCGCCAACCTGCACGCGTGACAAAGGGAAAACCGGTCTGCCGTCACTTCTCCGTGGATCCGTTCTGCATCCGCCCGCCCAACTAAGCGTTGCTCTGACATCAAAGATTAAAACCAGATGACGTGTGGATGGAGCCTTTCTCTTTCTAGAGTGAGGTGTCTTCATATTTTATGACGTCCTTCCCCCTGATATGATGGGGGTCTGTGACTGATGGTGCTGCACCGCACAACACCGCCTCTCCTTGTTTGTGGCGAGCTGGAGAGAAAGCTGTTTTTCTGTCCGCAGGGAAATGAGTATTTCGTAGAAGTAGAATATTTTTAGAAACGATTACATCCCTTATTTTTCAATAAATGTTGACCTTTGGACCGGAGACTTAGTGCCGAGAGAGAGAGAGAGAAGGGGGGCAGTTATTTATAATACTACTTTGAATCAGCGCTATGAGTACAGATTCGTTGCTATTTTTTTCGGCCCTAGTTATGGATATGATTCAGATGATCATGTACAGCAATGATGTCCAAACGAATCGACTTTTAAAGTAATGATCACACATCACAGGAAGCTCAGCCTAATAACAGATTCTGTTTTTTCAAAACTCGGTGAGACTCTGAGTCACCACGATTGGACGAGATGGTCGCCCACCCGGCTGAGCCACTGCAGCACATGAAGAGATGTGTGTGTGTGTGTGTGTGTGTGTGTGTGTGTGTGTGTGTGTGTGTGTGTGAGGGCTGCGGTAGACATCATTTGATGGTTAACCCAGTTGTTGAGGAAATCTGTGCGGACACTTGCTTGTATATTTTTCTCTACATACTCATCAAAGTGCTGTGTGAGTAACGGATTTAACGCCCTCGTCATGGGGGGGGGGGGTTCAATTGGGAGGATGAATAGATTAAAGAGATGGATAAACAGGGGAGGAGGATCAGAAAGAGGGAGGTGAGGCTGTTCACTGTGGTGACGTAGTGATTCTAGCCGTTTCTAAGCCGTCTTTTTAATGTTTTATTCATAGCGCCATGACAACCAAGAAAAACATGGAAGCCGTTCACCTGATATTCACTTTAACACTTGTTAAAGTGAGAGGCGAAGAAACAATACTACAGCTGAAATAATTGGTTATTTGATTAATTAGTTGGTTGTGAGAACATTTTGAAAATCAGTTCAATCACTTCTTTTTTGTTACAATGTCGCAAATTAAAGATTCGAAGAAGTTCCGTATTCGTATTCTTTTTTGTTGTGTTTAACATTAACAACAACACCAGACACCTCAACCTCATTCTATTCTAATTTTCACCTTTCTTTCAAAACTCTTAATCAACCAATCAATAAAATAACTCGTATACTTTCTCTCTGCTTTCAACTGTCTCTCTTGCGCTGATCGTCTTTGCCTTGTTGGCGGATTATGAGTGTGTTGTATTTTTGAATGAAAGGCGTAGCTAAGGGGCCGGGGGGGCCGGGGGGGCATGAAGCCTACAGAGTCACGGCGGGGAGATGCACGTTGTGTGCAACAGAGCCAGTGAGTGATTTTGCAGCATCAATAACCCAATTCCCTTTAGGTTGCCATGTCCGTCCACAATTATGTCAAATCTATTGCACTTGCGTACTAAAGTCCTTCTACGCCAAGGCGAGCCCCTTCTTGAGTGATTTAACCCCCCTTCCACGGCGGTTGACCTTTAAGCCGCATTACTCAACGTACTTAACAGCCTTCGGCGGGCGCGTCCACAGTCTTCCTTTCCCACAATTCCAATGAATGTGTGACAGACGCAGGTAGCCCATTACGAGGCAAACAACGCGCCATGTGTTGCCGCCGGTATAATAGGACGACAGAGTCGCGCCCGGCCGACGCTCGGCTCCGGCTCCGGCGACTAATGAGGCCTTCCGGATCTTTTGTTAGGGCCCAAGCGGTATGCGTGCACGGCTTTTTGTGCGCGTATGTGGATAGGATACGCATAATGGTGGTCGATGGTAATGGCCTCTTGGCCTGTGTTTTGGGGAGATTAAAGCTGTTGTTTTCCCTGCAAACAAGTACACAGCATCCTCGATCCGCCCAGTGGATTTCCTCTGTTGCTGTGTGCGAACGGGCCGCCGTGCCGCGGCTCTCTGGCTCTCCAATGGAAACGTAGTACGAATGATATT